CCAATATGTAGGACAGAGCATTTGTTTGTTGAGATTTGAAGTTGCCATTTGATTGACCATTCTGATACATAGTCAAGATCTTTTTGAAGGGTAGCAGTATTGTCTGTGGTGTTGAATAGCTTTACATCGTCAGCGAAGAGAACGCAGTTGCTCTTAATATGAACACAGAGGTCATTTATGTAGAGTATGAAAAGAATTGGTCCTACAACACTGCCTTGGGGGACACCACTGTTGACAGGTACAGAATTTGATAGGACGCTCCCAATTTTGACCATTTGTCGTCTGTTTGATAGGAATGCTTCTATCCAGTTATGTAGATGTCCAGAGATACCATAAGATTTTAGTTTTAGGAGTAGTTTGTCATGTTGTGTAGTCCATATGTTTTTGCAGTGTAAGAGTTGCATATTGCAGGATCTAATCCAACCACCTGCTCAGGCAGGAAGCCCTATACCATTTCAGACAAATGGTTGTCTAATATCTTCTCTAAAACTTCCAAATTTGGAGCACCCAACAACTTTTGGAGGCAATTCGTTCCACTGATAAATTGTTCCAACTGTCAGGAAATGTCTCCTTAGTTCTAAGTTGGTTTTCTCTCCTTGATTAGTTTCCATCCATTGCTTCTTGTCCTTCCTTTTGAAACAAATATTTCTAAAAACACTGTTACTGTTTTAAACAAATCTCCACTGTAATTTAATGTACATAAGCGTACCTCAAAGTTAAAACATATAGGGGCCTATGTAGTCTTTCTTTGGGGTTTTTTCCCCCTCAAAATAATTCTATAGGGTCTACCTTTATCAATAGTGGTCTGCTGGGTAAAAGTTAAATATCCTGAGGTATGCACCATATTTGATGGAAAGCAAATATTCTGTACATTAATTTCAAATCATTTACTAAAAATGGCAACTGAAACACAATTATTGCTGAGTAATCTATATGGCAGAATTACTACTAACAATACCTTCTCTTACCCTTTGTATTTAACAGAAGCTAATTCAAAACTGTCATAGATGAAACATTTTCTATCAAAGAGGAAATGATAGGAAAAAAAAATCCTTTTTTTAAAAAAAATCCTGCATAGGAGATGCTGCCAAAATCCTAGACCCCAGAGTCATTTGACAAAGCTGACAGCTTTAACGGCAGTGTTTTTGGACACGGTAAATCACAGTGCTCCTCACTTTTTAACTCATAACTTCTATTTATTCTGATTTGAATGATTACAAGTATCCAATCGTTTTTGCAGAAGGGCTTCCCTTTAGTCTGAGTGAGGTGGGGTCAAAATACATCAAATAATTAGGTATTTTATTGGCAGAACATTCCCTATTGTTTTCCAGGTTATCTCAAAATACTTAAAAAAATAAAATTTGTAAAATACATAGTCGCAGTCGCCAGTGGACAGGAAGTATGACTCCTGCGTATGTTTCAGAGGCTGAAAAGGCTATTAGAAATGCACTGCAGGTTCCCTCAGATGTGTCCGGAAAGGAAATCACTACATAAAGTCTTACTTCTTTCCATGACGCATCTCCAACTGACTTATACCCTGCCCACACTGAAAAACAACTCTCTTAAATATCACAGTGTTCAAGTACAAAGTATGGCAATGAATGGTAAATTTACAGAAATATTGACGACAGGGAAATGAAGGAGTAAAGGAGATTAATAAAAAATGAAATAAAATAATAAATTTCATATACAGTCTAAATTCACACATAATGGTAAGCAAAGATTTTTAACTACAGATTGTTGGGGGGAAAGCTAACACACAGTTCAAGGATGGGCAAACACTTTGAGGCTAGGAGATACACATTGTAATACACCTTCGCAGCTTTTAAGGGTTGTAGAGTTTGTGATGAAGAAATCAGGACTTTCTACTGGAGGCTGACACGATTCCACTTTCTTTCTTTCTTTCTTTCTTTCTTTCTTTCTTTCTTTCTTTCTTTCTTTCTTTCTTTCTTTCTTTCTT